TGCTGGGGAGGAAAGCGGGAGGAGAAGGGGAAGTCCGGGGGGGAAAGAGCGACGGTGGACAGAGGAGGGAGAGAGGGGGAATAGAAGGGAGTAGCGGGTTAGGGACAGGACAGCAAGGAGCCGGCTGTGGGGGTAGAGGGAAATGGGGGAAAGGGAGATAACTAAGGGGAATGCGGGCAGGAGGAAGGAGCGGTAGAGAGAGGGACAGGAAGGAAAGCCTCAGAGCCCTGGCTCCATCCCGAGCCCGCCCCGCCCTGCCCGGGGTGCTGCGCTCGGCGCAGCTCGGCTCGGTGCAGCTCCACTCGGATTTCTCACTGAAAGGCACCTCATTTTACATAAAAGCTACAAAAGTTACACCAAACTTTCCCAAAGCAGCAATCTTCTGTTCATGCCTTGTAAATGTGCGGAGCTTCTCTTCAGAGCGGGGAGCCCGCTTTGCAGTTACTACTCTGGACAGTGAGTGAAAGGACTCTGGGTACACCAACGTCATTTGGTGCTAAGTTCCATTTGACTCCTAATCAATACTCTTTTCTTTTGCTAGCTTTAAAGTAGGTACCTTGATATCATGCACTTTTATGTAATCTACTAGTAGTTCTTCCTTGTTTATACTGTGCAGTAAAAACTTTTTGTCTGTTATCTCCTGTCTGTTCAATAAATAACTGATTTTATAAATTGACCTGATTTGCCATCCTTAAAACTTGCGGGCCAGAGTGCTTTCTTAAATTTAAGCTGTTGCCAAAAATCTGAGGCTAAGGCTAAGCTTGCCTGAAGCTCCCACTTGTTTAATGACATTTTTGGCATAGTTGAAAGACAGGATGGCAAACAATTTAGAGAAACAGACAAAAGGCTTAGCAGATTACCTGCAAAGGCACAGTTTTCATATTGAAACTGATGATCCTTGGCCAGTACAAATGGGAAAAAATGTAGGAGAAAATAGATGAAAAATGGGGATTGTTGAAAGATAAAAAAAAGGAGAAAGTATTATTTGTAATGTGCTGGCACTATGTTTAAAGTCTGCATGGCAATGAGAGAACAGATGACAAAATGGTAATTTGAGAAATGAAATAAAGGAAAGAAATTGATTTGGTATTGTAAAATTGTCTCTATGATACCAAAATGACAAACTGAAACAAGAGTTAAAAGAATCCAAGGGAAAGACATAAACCTGGAAAGAAAATTGACATTACTAAAAAACCCCAGAGATTATCACATCCCAGGAAACTGATTTTGGAATGTTTTATGGAGTTGTCTGAGTAGCTCTTACTTCTTATATTTACATAGTCTGTTCATGGCAGGTCCAGCCTGTGCTTCAACTTAGTGCCACTCTAAGCCTTCAGTCTGCAAGAAAATTAACATTTTCGGAAGTTCTTAGAGCTCTATTTAGTGCTGTAAGGGTTAGGATGATTTTCTGCAAGCAGGCTGTCTGCCCAGACCTGATTCCTTCCCTCTCCCTGTCAGACTGTCCCTTGGCAAGGCTGAGGTGAGACCAGGATCTGTAAAATGTGACTGTGTCCTCCTGAAGCTGGAGGTTTTCTATCAATGCTAATGGAGTGTGAGGTGCTAAAGACTGAAAACCCCTTCTTTTCCCCTGAATCCCAGCACACTGTGCCCATAAGAAGATCCTCTCTTTGTGGCACCTTAGGGATACTTCTCAAGGCAGCAGGCAGAGGCATCTGTTATGGATCAGCAAGGGAACAGTCAGGACCCACTGAGCACAGCCAGAGGTGTTGGGATGAGGTCGCCCCTTGGGCTACAGTCACAGGTTAGGTCAGCGTGGTTCCTTGTGAACATTCCCATAGGACCACACACAGAATTCCACCACGGACATAGTTTTGTAAAGTTTTGGTGGCCACAGTTTGGAACTTGGTGAAATTGAAGTAAAGTTGAAGGGTTTATCCACTAAGAGAAGTAGTGATTTATAAATTAAAGCAGAGTGGTATTCCACACTAGCAATTTGGGATTGGTCCTAGCTAACCTGTGCCAGACTTCCACTCAGAGACCTACCCAGCGAGGCCAGCCCTTTGTGTGGAGGAGAAAATCCCAAAGATTCAGGGGCCAGACTGCTAAACTGCAAGTGCCTGCCATGAAAAATAAGTATTAGCCAGTCTCTAAGCATTTGTCTATATTCCAAGTAAGTACCCACCTATGGAAATGCCTCTGCTAGGGATATATGCAGCCAGTATATAACCACATGCATTTCTGCTCTCAGCCAATTCAGGCTAGAGACTTTTTATTACTTTCCATCCTGGGAACTTTCTTTGCTCAGGATTTTCCTGGGAGGCATCTGTACCATGTCTGTATAATGTAATTAAGATGCATTTGCTGCACATCCATACAGATGGGCTGTAAGCACAGGGAAAAAAGTCTCACTTTAGAACAGTGCTTAAAATTAAATTTCCTGCTGTTATGATCACACATTTGTTAGTACATAAAATATATTTAATACAAGCCAAACCGTCAAACAGTAAGTAGATTGATAAAATTCAGTACAGCATCACTTGTGCCCTGGCTGCAGCAGACCCTCAGCTGCACATGCGAATGGAACACGTTTCTGGGGACCAGTTAGCGCTGCAGATACTAAAGCTACCAGAGCTCAAAATATAAGCTCTCAACAGATAGATCTGAAGAATCTGGAAGAAACTGCTATCTGATTCCCTCAGCTTCAGGAAGCCACGGTGGCAGATGGTGAACTGAGCAGTCAGTTGGCTCCAAGATCTTTAACTCACATGACCAACAGTTACTGCAGAAAGAGAAATAAAAATCTATCAGAGGAAGCAGTTCATAAGTAAGTCTTCATGCATGGTTCCATGCAAGTTTCTTTATGCTGTTCCTTCCAAACCTTCTGTTTGTGAATGTCTCATTCATTCAGGTTGCTTTTTCTCTGGCATTTCATCCGCATGTCTTGCATGAAGTTTCTGAAGGCTGGTTCTTCATGACTCTCCTCAGTCACTGAGGGAAGAAACGACAGTTCAGCACTATTCCACCTCTGTTACTGACAAAAGCTAGAGTCAGGATAGTCAGAACAACATAAAACATCTGTTGGATCTTCAACTACATTACAGGGCAAAGGAAAGAAGTGATCCGAAACACCAATGGAACAGGAAAAGAATGAAGATTAAGCCTGTGAGCTATAGAAGCGGAAAATCACCCTCTAAGAACTTAGAAGATTGCTCCAAGACCATAGTCACAGCAAAAGCCACAGCCAGGGGCAGAAACTGTAAGGTCAAAGAGATGATAAAACAGCTGGGAATCAATCAGGTTCAGAGGTCACTGTGTGCCTCAAGCCTAAGGGGTTCTCTGATTTATGTGTGTTATACTCCTATTAATTACTTACATAGAAAACTTACAATTGAACTCTCACAGAGGTGGGAGAGTGTTAGCACTGACCAAGCATTGCTTCTGCTATGGATTCTGACACATATATTTAGGTGACTGTTTGCTTGTTTTCTAGGCTCTCTTTACAGTCCACCCAGGTAATGAAATACAGAGGGGACTTCCTGACTAGATAGTCAGTTTCAGGCCTTATTCCCCTACCTTCATGGTCAATGTCGTCAGTATCACTCTCCCTCTCTTCTTCCTCTTCATTGAGAGCTCCTCGTGTAAGGATTAGCTCAGAGGGACCCATTGCAGAAGCATCATCAGGTCCTCGAAGGGAAAAGAAATGGTTGTACACAAACCAGCTTGCTAAAGGTAAGGTATTGTTAACACCGATGACTTATCTGCACATAAACACAACAATTAACTGCTCTGAAAGGACAGAAAACTGCTTGTGGATCCCAAAGGCACAGGACAGACTTCATCAGCACATACCTGTAAGGAACAGTGCAGCCAATAGCACAGATCTCCCATATTCTAATCTGTTTCACCTTTTCTAAAGTACCTTATTATTTTTACTATGTCTGCTGCTTTAGCTGCACAGCAGGGTTTCCTGCGTGCCTGTGACTGACAGAGGAATAGCTAAGTGTGGCCAATCCCACAGGAACTAAAGCCCCACTTCTCTAATATGGAGCTGCTTTCACACTTTTGCTGTGGGAACAAAGAAGCACTTCTCAACACGAACTCTTCAGAAAACTCCTGCAGTGAACTTGATCTTCCTGGTGAGGTACCTGTCAGTGTGCTGCCCTGCACACACACACTGCCCATGTCCTTCCACAAGTGGTCCAGCTGTTCTCTCTTTTGTTTCTCTTGAGCTTCCTCCTGTAGATAAAGAGTTACATGTGGATTCTGAGAACATTTAAAATATCATAGGAAAGTAACCTCATCCAAACCCAACATCTGTCCTCCAGCCAGAGTGCAAGTCACTGAGCAGATCTCATATTACAACTAAGGTTACACAGAACTTTTGACCAAACACAGACAGCAACCTCCAGTCTGGCAGACTTCTAGAACATTTACAGAAACATCAGGAAGCCAAACTCAGTGCAGCTGTGCCTGCAGAGAACTTTGGACAGCCAGGACTCAAGGTAAGCAGAGCTACTGATTTTGGCACTGCAGATCAGTCTCTGTTACTGTTTAAGTCAAACTAGTACACTTCACTGGTAGAGGAAGATACAAGGATAGCCTTGACACATCACTCGAGAATTTATTTTCAAGAACTCTCTATCCTTCTGAATGGAAGATACAAAACTATTTCCCAATCATTTTCGCACAATTAGCTTAAATATTAGCACTAAAGCAGCAAACAATATGTGTTTTAGAAAACATCTTTATTCTTGCAAAGATATGCTCCACCACATCTAGGAAAAAAAAAGCAGATAGCAGACTTCTTCAGGACAGGAGTTTTCCCACACTGAGTAGGACTAGTAAATGAAATGTTAGACCCTCTCAACATAAAGGCAATTGTGTGCATAAAAGTGACCTCAAGATACTCCATCCAGGTGTACAACAGCCAAAACCACTTACTAGTGTTTTTCTCAGGCGTTCATATTCTGGACGATACTCTCTGAAAAGATAGAGTGCACTCAGTCTGAATCAACGCATGATTTATATTAACTAAGGATCATCTCAGAGGTTTCTTCCACCCCAAAAAAAGTTTTCTCAAGGCTTTCATGTTTGAGAGACATTTCAGAAGGACTAACAGTACTTTTTACCCAGATTTGGATTCTGAAACCAATGGATGCAAAATAGGTGAACATACTTCATTGAAACAGCAAGAGTTCAAACTTCCTGTACAAAATTAGAGAAAAAATATTCCTTCACACATTTAATGGCACAGATAGCTTTTGCTTTTTCACTGAACAGCAAACACAAAATTTCATCTCTGAAGAGTTCCTTTACACCGCCACTTTTTATGCTGATGCTTGAAGTTTATTAAAAACCCTAAACTACCTTGGCTAAGGAAGGTGTAAAGTCCTTCAAATCAAAGAAGTTACAAATCAGTACCTTCAGGAAGTGTTCACTGGGCTGACTATGGCCTTACCTCTCGTATTCATCTACAGCTTTAGAAAGCTGGATAAAAAACTCATCCAGTCCTGTGCCGAGCACCGCAGAAACACCGACCACCTGCAAAAGAAACCACACACTACAACTGCAGAGTAACTGAACCAGTCTCTAACAAAAAACCAAAAAAACCTAACAAATAATTACTAGTCTAAACCTAACAATAGCCATTTAATCAGCACAGTGGCACAAGAATGTGCAGTACCACTTCTGCTTCTATCCATCCTGCTTTCAAACTCTTTGTCCACTTGCTGTTCATGTTTGTTACCTCTGTCTTTTGGGTGCTGCTGGTTTTCTGTTTGGTGAGTTGTTGCAGTATTTTCAGGGTGTTTCTTTAGGGAAGGGGGCTTGCTTTTTTGACAAGTTGGGCATTTCAAGAGAAAGTCAGGTCTTTCTGTCACTTACTTATTCACTGTTAATAATCCAATCTGCACCTAGGGTTATAAGTAGTTAATATGTATCAGTGTACTAGAATTAGCAAAATCAACAACTGACCTTCTGGCTACATCTAATACTTTGTATTTAGCCACATCACACTAGGCCACACAGTCCAACCCCAGAACAGCAAGAAGTGGAGAATTCAATCAGTTACTGCAGCAATACATTTAACATGCACATCTCTTTCCTAACTTGGACTTGTCTATCATTACACCTCTGGCCATTTGTTCTGTCTGTGTTAAGTCAATTACCTAAAAATACATTTCATTAGCACTATTACTAGCCAGAATCGATCATCTTCTAACAAAAATTCTTCCTCTTTTTCAAAAGCAAGACAGTCTCAACTACTCACTAACAAATTGGAAGACTTTTTCCAATACAGCCTTGCGCTTGGTCATTAATACAGCAAACATGAGACAGCTCTCCAAAGGATTTTAAGTATTACTATATGCTGACATATGTTAATATTTACACTTTCCCTGCATTGAAGTACAAGCTGCAGTCTATGCTACAATCATCACATGACCTGCTCTCCAGTCCAGCATTCTGACATGCAGAGAAATATGACCTAATTAACAAATAAGGAACACGAAGTACTTTAATTCTGTACATGGCACCACTACAATCCCTTCTGAAATTCTGTATATGGTTCCACATAGAACACGTACATTACATCTGGCTACATTATCATTATCTATCTGAATGGAATCACTTATTTTCTTTCTTTTAATACACATAAAGCCAAGGAAGCTTGCTTTTTCTTTAGTAAAAGCTAATGGCAAACACAATTAGCTGAAACCTTTTGCACAGACTATGGGAACAGTAGCAGCCTCCAATACACAGGGTTTCCTGAGGAACTGGATTACTTTGTCTTCTCAAAACCTGGTTAAGTGAGAAAAACACCCCAACTTCTTCTTGCCCGAGCAAATATGGGGGGGCGGGGGGGAGAGGATGTTCGTTTGGGTTTGAGATTCTTTCCATTGTTCATGTGTACTAAATTGCACAACTGCACTACACACTTTCTGAACAAGGAAAATTGCCTCAGATAGGAAATGCTGCAACAAAGAATGCTGCATCTCACCAGCCTGTCTTCGCTTTCTTCTCATGACTAATCACAATATTGAATTATTCAGGGCTGCCAATCAGCGTGACAAGTTACTGAAGTTACTGTGTTCAAATCAGCAAATTCTCAACATGGCTCATCAACAGACTACAGTTCGAAAGGGCAGTGCAAAGACCCTTTACAGAAAGACAGAATGGTTAGGATTGGGTGACACCTCTGGAGATCATCTAGTCCAGCTTCTCTGCCCACAAAGCAGAATTAACTAGAACAGGTTGCTTCATAACTTGGTCTGTCTCCAAGGGTGGAGACTTCACAATTTCTCTGGACCATCTGTTCCAGTTCTCTATCAGTAAAAATGAAGTAATTTTTTCCTCTTCTACTTAAACATAGTTTCCTGTATTTCACTTTTGTCTATTGCCTCTTTTCCTTTCCCTGACCACCAGTGAACCTTACACTCTACTCCCACCCTACATCAAAAACATTATTCTTGAGCTTTCTCCAGGCTTTGATGAGAGGTAATAAACAAAAACAAGATTCTTACCTTCAGTGAACTGTAAAATTCATCCAACACTAAACTCATGGAACGAGTCAGGTTACTGACATAGGAGGTCTCTTGATTCAGGGCATCCTGAAAAGTCTCAAAGTCCTGCATCCATTCCACTGCGAAACTGTGGTCGATTATGTCAGTCTGGAAGGAGAAGGGAAAGTATTCAGCAATAATAATCTTAGCTGTAGGCTGCTAAGTGGACAAATAAAAAAAAACAAAACATATTAGGCTTATTTTCAAAATGTTAATCTTTTCAAAATACTCAGCCCTGGTCTGAAGTTTCTCAAGCTCTGTTTTTATCAAATCAACTACATGAATACCTGGAAAGAAGACAAACAACCACTCAGGTTTAAGAAGGCGATGACTGTTTAAGGAACACTAGCAGGTCTAAAGCCTTCTACGACTTACTGCAAAGGAGCTTTCAAACCCTGCACACTGTACAATAAAGTTTACAGTGCAAATAGCAAATCATATGAGGCCAGGCAAGAGCAGCCCCCACTGAAATCCCAAGCTTTCTTGATTGCCTGGGAGCTGGGGGAGCAGGTATCACTTCCACACTGGGCAGCAGCCCAAGGATGAGGTCTCTAAACACCAGCTGTGCTCCGACCCGAGGAGGTTACAACCCAAACTCAGTGCACAACAATGGACACAAACAGGTGAGACAGTTCCGCACTTTTACATGGACTCATATGCAAACAGTCTATTCAAAAGTTTCATCAACATCTTACCACAGGCATATCCACTCTCAGCATAATATGAGGTGCCTAAAACTCTGGTATGTTTCATTTCCCTGCACCAATGGGAAGGAGAAAGATGAAGTATTGCCTAGTATTACTCACAAGATTTAAGACAGAACTGAATCCACCAAGGGCCAAAGCCTGAGTACTTCAAATTTTATAAATAAAATAAAATCATCTCTACAAATTCCTTTCTTTTTCCCCTCTGCAAATCTTAAAATTCTAAAATCTGTTTGTCACTGCACATCTATAAGTTGCCCAGGATTCTTGTCAAGAGTCAATTTGAAAAAACTAAACTTAATTACATTTTGTTAAAAGTTCTTAAAATGCTGTTGCCTTTACTCTTTAGCGAAGGCAAACATTAAATTAAAATGAGGTTTGAAGTTAGGAATACTAAGCCTCAGGCCTACCTTTCCTAACGATCAAGTCCCACTCTTAGTCTTTCAAAAGATGTACTTTCTTAAGAGAGAATGATTTTCCCACCTTGTGCCTTTTTCGATGGAAAAAAATCCCCAAAAACTTAGAAGCTGACTCTAAAATTACTGTCTGGAGTTAGAGAGAAAGCAGCATACAAAACCTTGCTCAGTAAGCAAGCAGGTCTCAAAACAGGGTTTGGTTGGCTGGGCAGACGGGTGGAGCGGGGGCACAGCAGACACGAACACTAAAATGGCACAGTAAAGGCACGGCCCGTGGGAAACCTGTGTGCGTGTGCAGAGAGCCTGCTGTGCTGGGGATACAAGTACAAATTATGTCCGTGGGCAGCAGCACTCACACCACAAATCTAATGGGATTCTTTCAATATCTGAAATGATTATGTTTGAAGAGACAGCCGTTAAACTCAAAAGCACTCCTTTAAGACTGTGAGTGCACTACACGGCAGTGGATGTGTATCTCTAGACTATCTCTAGGCTTCTGCCTCCCAGCAAACACTCGATCAAACACCTCCTGCTGAGTTTTGCCTGGTACAGTACATGGGACTCCTTTCTCGAAACACACAGGTGTTACACCGCTCCCCCTGTGGGTCATTAGCCTGCTGCTGGGTAGGAACAGTAACAAAGACCAATGCCATGTGGAAACAGGGTGTGTAAGAGCAGACTCTCTAATGTCCTCTGTCTTACCTTACAGGGTTAAGTGTCCCTATAGCCCAGGCTTAAGGTCCCAAACGTGCTTCAAAGTGTTGGTGTCCTGTTTTGGGTGCAACTGCCCATTCCTGGCTATACTTGTGCCCCTTTTAGATTTGGCTGGCAGCCTGCAGCCCCCTCCCAGTCTCTCTTTTCTAGAAAAACCTATTATAGTGGTAAAACAAAGACCACACCAAAGAAGCTAAGCAGAACAATGTCCCCCTAGGAAATGGAAATCAGAGCTTTGACTTACTTTGTTCATAACTACGATGAAAGGTAGCTTTGTCTTGTACAGGATACTGGGCAGGGAGACACAAAATGAAAGTTTAACATTAATTTAAAACTCACTAGAATGGAAAGCATGTTAACCATAAGGCAGACAAGACTTATGCAAAACTGAATACATTTGACATCAAAAGAAAATTATTTTCTTTTGCAGCAATCAGAATGTAATTTTCACCCAGTTCCTGCTTATAATCGTTGAACAAAATATGCTTCCCCAAGATGTAAGCACACATCTGAGAGGCAGAAAATCTCTGACAGACCCAGTTGATTTTGGTTACCATTTTCTGTCTCTCAGATCCCAGTTTTTAACTACCTTTGCATTTTGCATTTGACTCAGACCACAAGTTCTGAGAGATTGTGAACTGAGCAATGAATTCAAGTAACACAGAACATCTAAAAGGAAAAACTACCTCAACACAAGAGCTCACACATTTATTTCACTGTATACATGTTCACCTTTTGCTCAAACTAACGTCAGAAAATGCAGCATGCAGCAAGACATATTTTGCACACTATTACAGTGATACAGCTCCTGATCTTGATACAAGGATTGCAAGGGTTTTTGAAAATCTTTTACCAATATTTACCATGAATTATGACAGCTCTAGCTATGCTGATCATTCTATAGGTGTTTAGTCCCTGATTTAACAGGAAAGAAGAAGAGATAAATTCATGTATGAGAAAGAATACAATAAATCAAGAACTCATTGCTATGCTGAACTCAAAACAAATCTTGAAAAATCTCTTGAAGTATCAATGTGTTTACAAGAAGGAACTTAAACTAGACTATCTTGATACATCTTAGATAAATGTGTTTATAAGCAACAGGCAATGTTAAATCTCTTGTAAGCAGCATTCACCACACCAAGGTCTCATGGATTATTTAATGCTTTCAGTGGGAGTTTTGAGCCAATGACCTCCATATGTCCACTGGCACCTAATTTATGCTGCTTTTTCAATGAGAAAATCACTAAGAGAATAACCAAGCCCGTAGTGGATATGAGACACCTTGGGCTGCACCAAGAGCAGCATGGGCAGCAGGGTGAGTAAGGTGAGTCTCCTTTTTCACTCTGTTCTCATCCCACCTGGAGCACTTCATCCAGCTCTGGAAACCAGGATACAAGAAAGATGTGGAGCAGTAAAGTGGGCCCACAGGAGACCATGCAAACTATTAGAGGACTCTCCTATGGAGATAGGGCAGAGAGCTGGGATTGTTCATCCTGGAAAAGGCTTTATGGAAGCTTTATTGCAGCTTTTCAGTATACAAAGAGATTTTTAAAGAAAAATGGAGAGTGATTTTTTACCAAGGCTTCTAGCGACAGGACAAGGGATAATGGTTTTAAGCTGAAAGAGACAGGCTGACAAAATTTTTCATGATGACAGCAGAGAGATATTGGAGCACACTGCACAGGGAAGCTGTGGTTCCCCATCCCTGGAAGTGTCCAGGTTGGATGGACCAACGTGGTCTAGGGGAAAGTGTCCCTGCCCATGGAAGAGCGCATGGACTAGATGGCCTTTAAAGGTCCCTTTAGATCCAAACTATTCCATTATTCCCCTCAAAAGTAACTACTAAAGAGACACAGCAATTGAAACAGATGGGCTGCATTTACAGCCTTTCTTACCTGCAGGCATAGAGCATGTTGGACATAAAGGTGATAGGGTTAGTACTGCGAGAGGTGTCCATCACATAGACAACAACTGAAGGGAAAGAGGAGGCCTGGGAACACCAAGTCAGAGACAGTTTGATTAGAAACTCACTGCTCAACAGCCAGGTCATTCACACAGCTTCACTGTCCAGTCATGCAAAAAGCACTTACCAAGGCCTCAGTTATGATGGTTCCTGATGCTGACCAAGTAAATACCTCAATTTGCCCTGGTGTGTCAATAATAACATACCTGGTAAGAAGTTACCCCCAAACAACAATAAAGGAAAATTAGTTAAGCACAAGGTCCTGTTCTGACTAGATTATTACCAGCATACAATGGCAAATGACATGATTATTCTATAACAGATGAGAAAAGCTTCTCCCAAACACTGACGAGATTTATAGGCATGCCTGAAAATCTCCTGTGTGAATTTTGTAACTAGGAAGCGTGTAATCCCACGTGCTACACATTTCTCACGAGTTGAAGGCATCAATTTGCCAGACAGTTAGTAGTGCAAAATCTTCAAAAAAATAATTAATTGCTGCCTATTTTGAAAAGTGTGAGCAGAAATGATAGTCTAATGGAAGACAAGAAAAGCAGGACTGTAATAAGCAGGCTTTATTTTTATGTATGTAAAGAAAATCTAGTTTATCCATTCTATGCCACTTTCCACATAAAATTTATAACAAGGCTGAAAAAAACAACTAGAAAACATTCTGAGAAGCTTTTCAGAATTTTGCAATTTTCCCACAATGATCCCAGACAAGCACAACTCAGTAGAATGTACTCACTTGGATGCATTTTGTCTTTTTTCAATAAACTTCATCACCTGATTGAAAAAGCAGAAGTATATTTTGCATTTAGGCTCACAACAGGAAACTTTCATCTTCATTTCATAGCAGAAACTACACACATAGCAGAAACTTGCACAACTACAGGTGAAAATCAAAAGGTTAAAGTCTTTATGCTTTTCAGAGTGTGAAAATGCCTTACTAAGGAGTGGTGAAAAATGCTCAGACCCTGCATAGGTCAAAAACAATCTTGATTTTGTGTGTGTTCTAGTACCTGGCTAAAGAAATTAGTACCTCACTAAACTAAAGGCAGTTGTTCCATGCCTCTTCACCAAGAGATCATCTGACACCAGTCCCCATCCCAGAACTGATTTAGTGCTATGATTTAGGAGGGCTGTCAATTATCAAATAGCCCCAGGAAAATTTAACAGGTTTCCAGAAGTGAGCTTCCCTACTTCTAAACCTGAGCACCCACATGAAAGATTTTATAGGAAATATGCTGCAACAACAATCCTATACAGACTGAAGGATGTTCTGGACCTGTGCCTTCTTCATTTTACTTTAAAACAATCTCTCATATGAAAGCTAATGTGCTCTGACAGCACTGTAGAATACGTGGTTCTGTATGGAGGATAACTCCCCAGAAATATGAGAAGACTACACAGTGCCCCCTGTGACTGGACACACACAAAACCCCCATCTCCAGCACACATCATGGAACAGCACACAGAAACCACCTCGTACCTGGTCAAATCTTGTAGCAAAGAGATTGAGTGAGGTCACTATTCCGCCGTTTGGGCCCAGCCCATATCTGATGCTTCATTTAGGAAAGCAGATGGTTACACAGACCCCATAGGTCGTCTTTGTCAACTCTGACAACAGATGCACTCTGGATACCTTGAGATCAAAGGACAACAGCCCCGATACACGATTAATACACCTCTGTAAGTCACTTGGCAGGGTAACAAATACTCTCTTACCCAAACACGTGCGACTGGCAGAAGCAAGAGGGGCTACGTGGCTTCTCCCTGCTATTTGTGTTTTAACTGCACAAGAACCAGCATTGACTCATAACACTGTTTTCTCTATCACTACTCTCAATACCCAAACATACTCCTCAGGCCCTTATTAACAAGGCACAGAAACTCCAGTAATGGCTAACAAATGCAATGAAGCAAATAATGCACTTACATATTAATTTGAAACTTATATTTAGGATGTTCTGCTGGTAACCCCAAATAAAACAAAAGCCAAAATCAAGAATCCTATCCCCCACCACCTTTATTCTTGTCTAAAGTATTAAATTTAAGAGTCATACTCACAAGTCAAAACCAAAGGCTGTGTGCTGTCTCCATCTGCACAAGCTATTACATAAGAGACCAAGGACCTCCACAGCTCTCTGGAAGTGCAGCCACTTTAGCATAATGTTACTGCACTACAGCCAGCAACACTGTGAGCAACAGCAAACACTCCCATGTCTCTGAGATTCAGAGAGACAACAGTGCTTTGATTACGGCCAAATGGAGAAATCATTTTCTCCATCTACTACAGGCAAGTAGGAATTTCCATATTTATTTATGACAAATAAAATTAAACTAGTTAAAACGTGGGGAAAAGGCTGCTGGCTTCCACAAAAACAAAAAACAAAACAAAACAAAATGGCAGAGTCCCTATTGCTTGTAAAAATTTACTGTTAGGCAAAATCATTTTTAGCACAGAAGAAAATCACCTGAGTGCCAAATCTTGTAGAACACACATTCCTAATATCACATGCAAGAAGTACACAGTCAAAACCTCTTGATCTTCATGCAACACTCTGCATTACTGCAATCCCCCCCATCTTTCTGCCCCTTAACACACTGTTCACGCAACAGATTATTTTCAAAAACTTGACATTTCAAATATCATTATTCAGACAAAAAAAAGGATACTGTTTCATGACTTCTTTGTACTTCACGGTGTCCCTGATATCTAGGGGAGATAGACATATAAGCAGTTTTCCAACCCCCAGCTGGTCACGATCAGCTAACAAAGCACATCTACCAATCTGTCTGTGTTACTAGAGATCCAGCACTGGGACACTGCAGTCATTCCCCTGGCAGCAGCAAAACAACTTGTGCACCCACACTGTCTTTCTTACCCTCTGGGAAGGCTGGCTGGCATCCTTCACAGAGGGTAAGAGACAGGATTGTCACAAAACTAGGGACTCATATGCTCTTTGGAACAGCTAAACATAAGATCTGTTCTACCGCTAAAATGTTTTCTCTAAAGTTAATGTCTTTTAAAGTGCTTTAAAGCTGTTTGTTGATAGCATATTTATTTGTAAGTAGGGAACCAGATCAAATCTGCTAATCCTTTCATTATTGACAAGAAAAAAGCCTCCAGAACCCAAACACCTCCAATCACACCAGATGACATAAAAAATGTACAGACGCATTGGAAGAATGGCTTTGGTTCTAAAAATACCCAAATTAACCACTGTTTGGAGAAAAGACCTACAATTTTTTAAAAACAGTCCTCAAGTCCTTTTATTAGAACTTGGCCTCTCTTAAGGGAACACAAGCAGCCCAGCTTGTTTTCTGTCACGTATTCGCTCCCGCGGAACACGTGAAAAGCACTCTCCGCGAACCGACTCTGTCTCCGGTGAAGGCCCTGCTCCCTCCTGGCAGACCCCAGGCCGCTCGTCCGGCCTGGGCTCCCGTCCCGCGGGGCGCAGCGCTCACCGATGTTGGCGGGGAAGGGCAGGCTGTGCACGGCAGGGTCCAGGTTGATCACGTACGGAGGGCAGCGCTGCCCGTGCAGGTGGGCGGCCAGGCACTGCGGAGACACGGGGAGGCGTCAGCCCCGCTGGGCAGCCCCGGGGGCAGCCGGCGACCCCCCGCGACCCCTCGCGACTCCCGCAGCCTCTCACCTGCACGAAGGTGGTTTTTCCGGAGCCGGCCATACCCAGCACCAGCACACACACTGGAGCGGCAACCGCCGCCGCGCCTGCCGCTGCCATATTCCCAGAGCCCACTTGTCCTTCCGGGGCGGGGGGCGGCCGCGGCCCCGACGTGACGCACACGGATCCGGTTGTGGCCCCGCTGCCGCCCGGGACGCTCCGCGGGCCCGCGCGGACTCCCCGCGCTGCACGGCCCGGCGCGCCACAACACCAGCAGCGCGGCGGGGCTGGAGGCGCTGCCGGGGCCGGCCGGGAGCGGCGGGCGGGACCGCGCGGGCGGGCGTGGCGCTGACGTGGCGGCGGCACCGGCACCATGCGGGGCGATAGTAGTGGCGGCGGCTCGGTGAGTGCCCGCAGTCTTTTCACCGATGCTACCCGTGGCTGCCCCGGAGAGTTTGGCTGGTCCGCGGGCCACCGCGAGATGGGCTCTGACGTCGCGATCGCGGGAGCGAGCCGGCTTCCCCGGACCGCCGGTGGGGTGTGCGGCCTGGCCCGGCGCGGTGAGCGGCCCTGAGCGGGCGGCGAGCGGGGTAGCCCCGGGCTCCCGGGGAGCAGCGGCGGGAGCCGCCTCTCTCTGCCCGAAGGCCAGGCTGTTCTCCGAGGCCTCGGGCCAGGCCCGGTTCTGTTCGACCCGGAGCCGGGCAGGACGCCTGAGCGGGGCGCTGCTGGCGCCGGGGGTGCGCTTTGTCCGACATGCCTTCGTTACAGGAGGACCTAGCTGATGGAATGTGCGGGTAGGAAAGAGAACGCGGGGCTGGAACAGGGAGTTCCCCAAAGGATACTGAGCCCTCCCGCTCCTCTAGGGGACAGTCGGGGCCCACAGGATGCCTGGTGTCCCTGCTGGCACCTTCATCACCTCCAGTTTCCGTTCCAGCTCCTCACCTCGGGGAGTTTCAGTGCTGTGCTTCTGCACCGTCTTGCCGGCTGGATGCTGTCTCCAGCCCGTGTTCCAGCTCACCGGAATGGCCCGCAGTCCACGGGCAGACAGAATTCACAGCTCCCATCTTTTCAGGCTCTGGACCGCTGTTTCACTTTTTCTCACCTGTGCAAGGAAGGTTCTTTTTCTGTTTTCGTTATGTCCAGCCGTTGGGCATTCCTGCATACATTAGGTCTCTGTTTTATAAGTAGGAAGTCAAGTGTATAAATGAAAAAACATGCAGAACTTAAACACCAATTTCTATAGATGTTTCCTTTATAATTGCTGTTATTAACTTCTCAGAAACGAAAGCCTGACAGATCATTTTCACTCTCCTTTTTTATTGCAGATCCTTAATTGCCACCGAAGTTCATAGTAATCTTTACTCTTATGCAAAATTTTTTAGTTATGAAAACCCCATGAATTTTGATACACATGCCATGTTTGTCAATTCAGTTCTTCTAATCCTAGATTAAGCCAGTGAATTGCAGCAGACTCTGCCTGCCTGTTTATTTATTTGCTTTTATCATTACAACTTCATAGCCCTGATTTTTTCTGGCTGCTTCTCAGTGAGGTTGCTACACATTTTTCATGTGGAGATTTCCCAAACAGTGCTGTTGACACTACTCTTTGGGTGTAAATAATGCAAACACAAAACATCCAGTTGACTTTACTTCCAAGGAGGCAAGATTTGATTGTGAAGTCACTGATCAAGCAGTTGTGAATTTTTTCCTGCTGCTTCCCTAGCATTTCCGTGAGGAGACTGGGGCTGGAATGAATAGGCACAGTTTAATCATTCATGTATTGGTATTAGTGCCTACTACTGAACTTCTTAACTGGTGCTTAGGGTGTCTCTCACTGCTGATAGTGTGCATCACATTTTTCTATGAAGAAGATAGGTAATTTAACCTTTTTTTTGTTTTGTTTTCTTTTTTTTTATTGTATGTTTTTTTTTGTTTTCTTTTTTTTATTGTATGGTTTTGGTTTTTTTTTCTTTTGTTTCATTGGATTTTTTTGTTGGGATTTCTTTTCAGGGTGGTTTTTTTTGTTTTGTTTTGGTTGTTATTGGGATTTTTGTGGTTTTTTTGGTTCTTCCAGTTTCTTAGCCGGTTCCTGTTTATGGCAAAATACTACCTTTGTTCCCTAAGTTACAGTTTTGGTATTCTTTATACTTCTGCTGGGCAGTGATTTTTATTTTCTAGTCTGTATAACTACTGGTTTTGTCCTGAGTTTTCTAATGAAGAATGGCATTCAGTCATTATTAGCATTTGAAAGAAGGTGGTGGTACGTGATTGTCCATGCACTAGGAGCCACCTACAGCAAATGAGTTGTTCAACTGACTTGTACACATACTTTTACAAAGATGTGTTAAATTACATGTCTTAATAGGAGTACAGCAAGTGATAAGTGACAAAAAAATCTTTGTTGAATAAGAAAAAGGATTCTACGGTGTGGATAAAATGAACATCTGGGCAGCTGATGGGGTATTATAAAGCAAGATAAAAATGAGGGCATGAAGGAGACTAGAAACAAGGTTCTTGGCAGGGTAAATGGAAGAACTATTTCATTAAGGAAAAATCAGTACTGTGTAAAAGCTAGCAAATTAGTGTCTGAAATATTTGTCATCAAGTGATAAAAGTATAGGCAGAAGACATATATGGGTGAATGTATTGGAGACAAAGAATACTCCATCACATCCCATTGTAGGGGAGAGATTGACTTTCATATGGGGGGTGTGGAGGGGCTCATCCCTGGTTTGATTCCAGTCCAATTCAGCTGGAGTTGGAAAGGTTAAGCACTTCTAGTTGCAGGAAACAGTGATTTATTTTTCAAAGGGTGGTGTATGCACATCTGCAGAGTTATGTGCACATGATTGTGCTTGGCTGCATAGTGAAACATGCTAAAAGAAAACGAATGATGCTGCTAATGTGAATTGTTCTGCCTTTTTAGGACACCAGGACTGGACATCACAGACAGCAGAAACTCAAGAAGTCCTTGGGAAATAAAAAGTATGTGAATGTTTTTTGTCTAGTTTGATTGAACGCAAGAAAAAAGCTGAGAATATTCTGAATTTTAAGAGCTGCAACAATTTTAATTAATGTGTTGAGAGTCTCAGCTGACTTCACTTACTGGTTTATAGGAAAAGTGCTTTTCTGACACTTCAGTGTGTATTAGCTTTCATTTATTTTTTAAAGGATTTTAGCATTGTGAAGATAAATATTTTAAGTCCAAGACCAAATGGTGCTCCGAAATGTATGTATTTTGGGTGCGATTGCAACTTAAAGACTTTAGTTTGAGAAATCCTCTCCCCATGCTTCTGCAGTATGTCGTGAAACATAGTATGTAATGACCCGACCTGTTGCCATCAGTGTCCCCTCCTTATTAATTCCTGGATTGATGTATTAAAGGTGAGCTCCACAGCTCAGAATATTGACAGAATGGCCATCACAGTCAACTCTCGAGTGATCTACTTATTTCAGTTGGTAATTGTAGTAGCAGTGGGATACATTGCAAAATGTTTGTGTTCCCTTTCTTTCCTCTTTACATAAATGGTATTTGCCCAGAGAATAGATACTCTGTGTTTCTTTGACACCTGATTCAGTTGGCTGTCATGTACAGGAATATAGATGTCCAGGCATTTCAAGGCCTGAGAGAAATACTTCAGAACAGTGAAGCAAAGTTCCCTCTATCTCTAGGAAAAAAATTCAGTGCTGCTGATTAGTCTAAAGTAGTCTTAAAGTAGTGTGATTTGTAGGATATATTGGAAGGTTGTCTTCATTGCTGAAAGTTAAAATTCTTACTGGCATGAAATCTTTAATTGCGTAGTGCCAGCTCTGATTCTGGGAGTAGAGACTGAAGGAGATCTTGCCCTTTTTGGGATGGAAAATGTCTCTTTTGTAATGATGGGCTGCAGAAATATTTTTATATTTCAAGGATAAGTGCATATTTTTCAATTAAGATTCACTTGCTCCTGCTTCTAAAGTTGAAAGTTTGAGGTAGGAGGAATATTTTTTTCTGTTCCTCTTGAGATCTCACTAATGTCATTATCAAAAAGATATACTGAAAAACAACACTGAGGACATTTTATCTTGCTGGCACTTTACAGTTCCCAAAACTCAGGAGATTCAGTGAACTGTGATACTGGTTTTTAGAATACTTGGGAAGATGAGAAGGATGTTGTCTGTCAAGTTTATTGTGATTGTGTACTAGTATGCATGTGTACACACAGGAATTCGACTTGATGTTTTCCAGGTCTAAGCAACTTGAGGAGGTGGAAGCTGCTTTTATAGGAGTGAACAGTGACTCTGAGGACCCAGTCACCAACGCTTCCTCTGCCTCCCCGAAGGGCCCAGTGAATGGGAGTGCAGAGCCCAGGAGCAAGCGGACCATTCGCAGGCCTGCTTACTGGTTGGAAATGAGAGGAATGAAAAACAGTGTGAACAAATCTTCAGAAAAAAAAGGTATTTATCACTGCTGCTCCAAGGCAAAACTGATTTTCTCTCTGGTTCTTCAGTGAGAGATTAGTTTGCTCATGAAAGACATGCTGCAATTCAGCCAAAAATTACAAGCTTGCTAGTGCTGCTCACATATTAGAAGAAATGAACTTTTGCCACTGCACAAATACGGGTACAGTTCTCTGACATTATGCATAGTTCCTTTTGAGTCACTTGTCTATTAAAGTAATCATTCTGTGCTTGAACTCAGTTCTATCTGTAGAAGAGATAAGAGTTACACCAATCATATCACAAATAAGCTTCAAGAGCTTCAAAAATAGAACCATCAACTCTAAAGATGTGGCAAAGGGGACCATTCAGTAGTATTTGGGATTAGATACAGCTTTTTTGGTTGGTAGATGATTATTTTTTTAAGGATGTCTTTATTTTCTCACATTTGTCAGTTTTAATTTTCTGATTTGGAATGGGTCTGGTTTGGGTCTTAGGTTTTTGCAGGAACATTCAGATTTCCTGGCCTAGGAGCTGTTTTCCAAACTTCTTGTGTGGCAGAGAGTCAAAACTTCAATCTTCTTTAATGCACTTTGTTCTTACCTCTAAGTCAAGATCTGTATTCCGTGCTGTTGTGGGGAGAGGCAAATACAGTAGCTTGATAGAAGTGAGATTGCTGTAGCTGCACAGCCCCAGGTGCAGTCACTAGCCAGACTGAGTATTGCTGTAGGAACAAACACAGGCCTACAACATACATGAACAGGAGCCAGGCAGATCAGCATGCACACAAGCAGCACCAACAGCCTCCATCCTTATACACTCAATCTGCTCAGTGCCTGACATTTGGATCCCAGTCTCCTCATTTGCTGGGCCATGGATGCACTGGCCCCTGAGGCCTGCAGAGCCATGTGGGGGGCAGGTGAAGACCTTACAGACAGGCTCATACTCACAGACCC